CATGGTATAACCCCTGCTTTCACTGTATTTAATGTTGGTATAATTTGTGGAGGGGAAGGGCAAAAACAAATCATTTAAATAGGGATACAGGTGGACCCATTGCAACAATGGGATCCATTTACATTTTGAGGTGGGGCAATTTGTCATTAGTTATACAATGAATTATGGCCATTTATTATATATTCTGGATATATCTATAGCAGCTACATATAGCTAGCTAGATAAATAGATAGACAGATGGATGGATAGATATATAGATGTAGCTATTTAGATATGTTAGTTCAAAATCTAACTTCCTGACCCTCTTACTCACTTTCTTCACTGATTTCTAGTCTACTCTTCTAAAATTCATCTTTCACCAAGAAAACGCTAGCCTTCTTTCTGTGGTGCTCTGAGCACAGAGAAATGAGAAGGAATGATGCTTAATCCAGGAAGCATATGTAACTTTAATAGTACTCATGTAACTGTAACCCCTCTGTACAGCATCTTTACAATAAAATAAAAATTAAAAAAACATTAGTACTCCTTAGGTAATTGTGTGATAATAGTGGTGCCTAGGAAATGACTCTCTGAACTATTGTCATGGTACCAAATCTTTTCTTTTGGAGTTGATAGCATACATCAAAAAGCCCAGTTATCTTTATTTTATTTTATTGTAAAGATGCTGTATGGGGGGGGTTACAGTTACATGAGTAAAGTAATGAGTACATTTCTTGTCATGCATTGTTACCCCCTCCTTTGTTTTTCTCCTACCATCCCTTCCCTCCCCACTCCCCCCCTAGAAGTTGTGAAGTTCATTTCCAACATAGTGTTTTGTGAGTATCTTTGTTGCAATGAGTCATCCTCTGTCCTTGTCAGCATTTTGTTATTCCCTTTTCCATCCCCAAATTAGATAAAAGTATATTCCAGATGCAGAGTACCAAAATACAGTGACAACAGAGGATATACCATAGGGGAAGGAACATACAAAAGAAACAAAAAAATCACATAGTACATTAAAAACAATCACAAAAAAAGACCCCTTGTGTCCATGTCTTGGGGTTCATTTCCTTCAGCATTATCTGATATGGTCATAAACACATAGCTTTTGAACTTTTCTGCTCATCTGATGAGATTATCCTAGATGTATACTAATTATTGCAAATAAGGGAAGCCATAGAACCTCTATTTTTTAGGGTCTGGCTTATTTCACTTAATATGATTTTTTCCAAGTCTTTCCATTTTCGAATAAATGGTGCAATGTCATTCTTTCTGATGGAAGCATAGGATTCACATTATATATTTATAATATATATGAATATATATATATATATATATATCACATTTTCTTGATCCATTCATCTACTGAGGGCATCCGGGTTGGTTCCATATCTTAGCTATGGTAAATAATGCTGCAATAAACATGGTCGTGCTGGTAGCTTCAGTATGGTCTTGTCTGTGATCATTCAAGTAAATGCCCAAAAGTGGGATTGCTGGGTCATAGGGGAGCTCTATGTGGAGTCTTTTGAGGAACCTCCATACTACTTTCCAAAGTGGCTGAACAAGTTTACACTCCCACCAACAATGCAGTAAGGTTCCCTTCTGGCCACATCCCCTCCAGTATCTGTTGTTATTAGAGTTCTTCATTATAGCCATTCTAACTGGGGTTAGAATGTCTTGACTTGTATTTCTTTTATGGCCAGAGAAGTTGAGCATTTCTTCATGTATCTATTGGCCATTCTTATTTCCTCTTCAGAGAAATCTCTCTTTAAGTTTTTAGCCCACTTATTATCAGGCAGTTGTTTCTTTGAGGATTTGTTGTTGGGGGATTTAATTTTTTGAATTCTAAGTATATTTTAGATACGAGGCCCTTATTTGTTGTAAGATCTTGTCCCAATCTGTGGGCTTTCTATTAATCTTGCTAGCTATGTCCTTTGCCATGCAGAAGCTCTGCAGTTTCATGCCATCCCAATTGTCCAACCTTCTTTGATTTCTGGGTCTCTATTAAGAAAATTTCAGCCTGTGCCAAGTAACCCTAAAGTTTCTCCTATTCCTTCCCATAATATTTCTGCTTTTTTACTTTGAGGTCTTTGATCCATTTGGAGTTGATTTTAGTACTGGGTGATATATAAGGATCTAGCTTTAGTTTTTTACAGGTGTTTAACCAATTTTGCCAGCACTATTTGCTGAATAGGCTTTCTTTCTTCCATTCTATTTTTTTGGCTCCCTCATCAAAGATTAGGTGACTATAGGTCTGTGGGTTCATTTCTGAAGTCCAGTCTTGAAACAAAGAAATTTTCCAGAGCTACATGGAGTCATCACCGTATATAACCACATCTCCATTGATCAGAATATTTTGTTGTGGGAAAGAATCACAGGCCTCTGGGAAGATCCTGAGACCCCAGTTCAAATGTGTGGGTCCTCTACAAGACTCTTCCCACCAGACACACATTTCCTTTGTAGAACCCAGAGCAAAAACATGAGAGCAGCCAGCCTTCTTTCCTGAGAAAGAGAACACAATGTCCAACTCTTTCCTTGAATCCAGGGCCTGGATTTAAGCCATGTAGATCTGTGATGTTACCCTCACTTGTTCCTTATGCATATTTCCCTTTGTTGTTGTTGTTGCCACTTTTCTCATCCATGACATTTGACAAAAACAGAACTTTGTTTTACATCTGTGGCTTGACGAGAGACTCAGGAAGATGAAAAATTAAAATCACCAGGAGACTACAAGTCAGTAGCACTGTCTTACACAGTCTCTTAGATCCTTTGAGTGTGGACATGGAGCCAAAGTTGGAGGGGAGGGTCGTGGGGGGGAGGGAGGTAACACTGTTCAACAGAAATGTACCCATTACCTTACTTAGACAACTGTAACCCCTCTACTTCATCTTTACAATAAAATATTATGTAAAAAAAAGAATTTCCCAACTGGACTATGAGAAAAGGACAGCTCAGGTAGTGCAAATAAGAGAGAAAGCACAAAAATATGAGGAGGTCTGGAAAGGCTCTTCTAGACCAATTCTACTCCATCTCGTTCAAGGACTCTTCTAGACTCCTTGCTAGCATAACTGCTTCATCGCATCCCTCAACCATCAAAATCTCTCAAGTTCCTCTATGTTTCAACAACTTGAAATAAAAATCAAGTCCCTTTCAGGAAGCAAGTAGACCCCTACTACCACTCCATGTGATATCATACACCCCCAGGCTCTAACCAACGTAAGGGGGGGAAAGGTAGAGAATTTGTAGTCTAATGCCGTGAT